ATGGCCCAACTGATGCGGCGATGTGCAAGATGTTTCGCACAACGCTCTCCAAACGAACATTGAGCTAGTTAAACTCCTTCCCCACTGGGTCAATTGAAGCTCTCTCCCAACTAACGGATCGCTTCACCCACCATTTCGCTATCAACAAAGAGTACGCTAAGAATCCCGCGTACCTCTTCACTATCACCCAGAGAGAGGGCGAGACCCTCCGCAACTACATTCAACGATTTGTAGAGGCAGCACACAAAGTTCCTAACGTGGGAGGAAACATGCTCGCTGGAATCATTCAACAAAACTTGAAGGAAGGTAGATTCAAGGAATCTATTGCTGAAAGACCTCCAACCACTCTGGAAGAGTTACTAAGTCGCGCTGAGAAACACGTGTGCATCGAAGAGGCTTCGGCCCTCCCTCCTCCCAAGAGGAAAAGAGATGAAGATTACTTCAACACCCGGCGACGAGATGGCGGACGACAATCGTCAACATCTCATTGATAATCTCCTTCTGCGTCCTTGTACTTCAAATGATGTCAATGACACTTGGAGTCTATCGAGCCCATAACATTGTTCGTGATCACATCATCCTAAACTGGGGGGCTATCCTACCTTAAGGATGATGCATCCCCTCACCTCTCGACATCAATTGAACGAAACACCTACATCATCTACTTAGTACAAGTTTATTTATTTCGAGCGATTCGCTCCCTACTTGTTTATTTACCTTCGCCTCAAGTAGGCTCGTAAGCTTCACCTTTTCGATCAATGAATAAAGCTAGTTATTTCATTTACTCTCGGTGTTATTGCTCTTTCACCACATAATTATTAGCTCGATCAAGTCAACATTAACCCTGGGGGTTTACAGTGCTCCCAAAATATTTCGTTCGCCAAGGGTTATCGACTCCCTGGGGGTTTATAGTGCCCCCAAAATATTTTGTTCGCCAAGGGTTATCGACTCCCTAGCGGGCTTACAGTGCCCCCAAAACATTTCGTTCGCCAAGGGTTATCGACTCCCTGGGGGTTTATAGTGCCCCAAAAATATTTCGTTCGCCAAGGGTTATCGACTCCCTGGGGGCCTACCTCCACCCCCCTCGAACGGTTCAGATAACCGAAGAGGACCTTCAGCGTATGATCGCCGAAGCTTCAACAAGATCAACTTCTACTTGCTCCTCTAACGGTTCAGATAACCGATGAGGACCTCCAGCGTACAACCGCGAAAGCTTCAACTCGTGCTGTTACTGAAGCAATGGCACAACCGTGCGCATCCACCTCAGACCATAGGTCTCGAGCGCCTCATCCTAAAGTGGGGGGTTATCCCATCCCAAGGTTGGGCATCACCCTTACCTTTCAACCCCAAGTGGGTTCACATCACATCTCAAGAGACGAGTATAATCTCCCTACTAAAAACATAGAACATCCCAAGGGGTGAACATCAACCACCAAAAAAAAAAAGGGGAAACAGCGCGTGCACAGCATGCGCGCGTGGCTGCCACGCGCCCAAAGGGCAGCGCGCGCGCGGCCAAAAAAAAAAAAAAAAAGAAAAGAAAATAGAGGAAACAGCGCGTGCACAGCACGCGTGGCTGCCACGCGCCCAAAGGGTGGCGCGCGCGCGGGGCCAGAAGAAAAAAAAATTATTGAGAAGAGCATGCTCACATGCGCCTGGGGGGCAGCATCTACGCGCGCGCCTTCCCATGCACGCGCGCGCCTCTTCCCAAGGCCACCTCGGAGCGTGCGCTCCCATCAGATCGCGCGTAACTTTTACTACTCTCCACCAAATTGCGCGAGCTCTCCAGCGCGCCTCACCAAATCGCGCACGCTCTCAAACGGATAAATAAAAATTATTATTTCACCACACTACGCCAACAATTAACTGTACACCACCACACCGATGTACTCTCGACACGATCCAGTATCCTTTTCGACTTGGCTCCCACATCGAATCGAGAGTGGGGGGCTTGCGAGACAACTCCCGCGAGGAGCAAACTCGCTCGGTCCTACAAACCTGTTGCGAGGCAACTCCCACGAGGAGCCAACTCCCTCGGCACTACTACTCGCAGCGAAACAACTCCCACGAGGAGCAAACTCGCTCGGTCCTACAAACCCGTGGCGACGCAACTCCCACGAGGAGCCAACTCCCTTGGTACTACTACTCGCAGTGGAACAACTCCCACGATGAGATAACCCGCCCGGTCCTACAACCCGTTGCGAGACAACTCCCACGAGGAGCCAACTCCCTCGGTACTACGAACCCGCAGCGAGACAACCCCCACGAGGAGATAACTCGCTCGGTGCTATAACCCGTTGCGAGGCAACTCCCACGAGGAGCCAACTCCCTCGGTTCTATAAACCCACAGCGAGATAACTCCCACGAAGAGACCACTCGCTCTGTCATACAACCCGTAGCGAGACAACTCCCACGAGGAGCCAACTCGCTTGGTACTTCGAACCCGCAGCGAGACAACTCCCACGAGGAGCCAACTCGCTCGGTACTACAACCCGCAGCAAGACAACTCCCACGAGGAGCCAACTCGCTCGATAGTACAACTCGCTCAGAGCGACCTCAACCCGCACACTCCTCAGTCGCGCGTTATCCAACGCTCCAACAACTTCGCTGCGAGACAACTCCCACGAGGAGACAACTCGCACGCAATTCAGTAGAAACACTTAGAGATATTATGGGAATCTATATAGCCTGGCCAGCTTGATTACTCAAACGTGGCCACGGTCCTAAAATATTTACGACCCACGAGGTCTAACAAGGGGCACGATCCCCATCAAAAAAAAATCTTGAGAGCCTGATCCACTCATCAAGTACATCCCGCACAAGGCTATATGTAAACACATACAAGCAACGCGTCAAACCATTGACAACGTCAATAAATAACAACTCCCACGAGGAGATAACTCGATCCGCGCTACCACATCGTCGTGGGACAACACCGACGATTCAAGTAACTTACATCGCGACAACTTGGTCGCGCTACGCGCCAACGCGCCTTCACGCCCCTCCGACACACGCTCCAACGCGTTTTCGCACACCATCGACTACTACAATTTTTACTCTCGACACGATCTGTCACCCATTTCAACATGGCCCCCACATCGACTCGAGAGTGGGGGGCTTAATGATATGCCTAATTGGACCCACCCAATGGGCTTACAATTTATTTACCTACTGGGCCACGAGCCCAATATTAAAGATCACTATTACCGAGGTCCAATCACCTTCAAATAAGGTTTGGGCCCAACAATCTCATCTAAGCTATAAATAAAGGTTTGAACTCATTCCTTAAGGTACGTCCTATTAACTGAGCAATACAATCAACTATATTCTCTGAACTATTTATACTATCAGCACGTCTGACTTGAGCGTCGGAGGGGTTTCCGCCGGATCAACCCCCGGTCTAGTTCACGTGTTCTCTCTTCGCAGGTATCTCAGGGTCATCTAGCACGTGAGCAGTGATCCACTTTGCTCTTCCAGCTCAACTACTTGAGGTGATCTACTTTCTAGCACCATCAATAAGAAAAAAAAGTTTTATGTAACAGAAAAAAAAAAAAAAAAAAAAAAAAAAAAAAAGAAAACTATAACTAAGGATCGATCAGACTTGATTTTTTTATTGGGTCTAGACCCCTGGAAATATTATGGTACATCGGCTGAAATACACTGGGTAAATTTTTATTATTCATATATATACAAACACACGCAAACCACATTGGTGTGTGTAGATTACAGTACAATTTGTTCGGTGTAATTTTCACCGGGTGTAGTATAAAAATCACCCAGGGGCCTCTAACCGGGAAAACAAATGCTACATCTGGTTATTTACATAAGGTGGATTTGAGTTGTAGATCTACACATAATCACACACACATCCATGTATATGTATGCTTAGTGAATAGTTATTTAATCAAATTTACTGTTCAAATCCACCGAATATAAATAATCAAGTGTAGTATCTGACTCCCTACTTCTAACCCATAGGAATGGCACTGCCTATATTTCTTCTTAAGTCACTGCTGCCTTTCTTGACGATATTTAACCGTCGTATAAAATAATAAACATTGTGTGCCGTGTTCTTGTATTTAGCCTAACTGCAGGACCATATATTAAATAACGTACTACACCATTTAAATACTATTTTTTTATAGAACTGAAGTATGACCATACATTCTTTAAAAAAAAAAAAAGTATGACCATACGTTTTCTATTCCAGCCATATCTCCTCGATCATCGAGATGCTACACCCGATGAAATAGATTAGACAGTGACGAGCTCAAGAATTTGTTAAAGGGTGGGCTTAAATTTTCGAGGGTACGAGGGCGATGACCCTGGAAAAAAAAAATAGGATTTTTTTTTGACAAAGTTAGAAAATAGGAAAACAGAAGAAAAAAAATTAAGAGCTTTTTTTTGGCATTAATTTGAATTTTGGATGGGCTAATAATAAAAATTGGGGTTTTTTTGCATTAATTTATATTTTGGAGGCCTAATTCATAAAAATTTGATGGACTAAATAAATATATAGATATGATATATAGGGGAGAAATTATAAATTGAGGGTGGGCTTGAGTTCAACCTTACCCGAGGGTGGACCCACCCCTGACACCAGATGATCGTTGATGTGGTGAAGTAACTTCCACCTAAGCACATACATACACATGGGTCCCATGTGTGATTATGTGCAAATCAACGTTTAATAAACACTCCGTGTATTTCACCGATTATGGCATCAAATATATATATATATACCAACTCATTTAATTAGCTGATCTCTACTCCGCCATTGCACTCTTCTTACCATTGTTATCGAGGTAACCGAATTTCTCTCTCTCTCTCTCTCTCTCTCTCTCTCTCTCTCTCTCTCTCTCTCTCTCTCTCTCTCTCTCTCTCTCTCTCTCTCAATTAAGCAAGATTTTCCATTTCTTCTTCTCTCTAACATCAATAAACATCTAGCTTTTTTTATGTTTGCATGATCAATGCCACAGTTGTAAGCTATAAAAACTTGCAGAGCAAGCAAGCATGAAGATCCATGTTGAGAATCGATCGTGTTTCTTCTTCTCATTCTTCGTCATATGTTTTTTCTTGTTGATCCAAACATCACACCAGCAGAATACCACGTGTCCGTTTCAGTATATATACCACTTTGGAGATGGAATCACAGATATTGGAAACTCGATTAGGGTTCTCCCTTTCGGCCCTTTTCTTCCTTCCACGCGTCCGCCTTATGGTACAACTTTTCCCGGTCGACCCACTGGTCGTTGGTCCGATGGCCGTGTCGACGTTGACTATATAGGTATGAGAATAAGATGCATGCATCTCACCTAATTTATATATGTATATACATAATAACTTAACCTGAGTGAACTGCTAATTAAATTACTTTAATTTTATTTTTCCGAATTACCAAAAAAAGTTATCGTTTATGTTTATTATGATCACTCACATTATACAGCGCAAATAGAATTTCGTTTAAGGGTGACCTAAAAATTTACATGGGTTCGAGGACAGCGTCCTCGAAATTTGTTTTAGTGGTATTATAACACAATTTTTAGTAACAAAAATATAAACTTTAGTTAAAATATTGTAAACTAAAACATACTATATCTAAAATATAGTTGTAGAACCTCATTAAAGTATATATTATTTCATAAATTTGAATGATAGATTAAGTATACGTGGGCTAGGTAAAATTTAATAACGGACAAAAACCATTATTGTTTTTAAATTACATATAACCCCCTGCAGTTTGTAAATTTCTTACATACACCCTCCTACAAATGGGTGTTAATGTAAAAAATCTACAAATTGCAGGGGATGAATGTAATTACAGAACAATGAAGGGTTTTTATTGTAAATAGACCTTACTTCAGGGAGATGATTGTAATTTACCCATTAATTTGAAAACGAAATAGAGTTTTTTTTCTTTTTTTTTTTTTTTTTTTTTTATAAATAATTTGAGTAAATACAACGGAGCTGAATGCAAACAAAACTCGACTATAACATTAAAATATTTAACGGAATTTATGCTTTCGGTCGCTTTGCAGCTGCTGATCTAGGCTTGCCAAACATCGTACCTTATTTGTCAATGCGTGGTTCGACCAGCAACGATGGCGTCATCTTTTCGGTTGCACGGAGTCCAGTTTTAGACCGTTTATTTTTCAACTTAAGGGGCGTTGACTTTCCACCTTATGCTGTTCCTCTTAGTGGTCAACTAAGATGGTTTAAAGCTTATCTTTCATCCATTTGCTCAACATCACAAGGTACACGAATATAGTATACTGTATAGCCTCGATAAATTAGTAACATTGTTTAAATAATAATCTATTCCGATCTCATCTCAGTTACAACGTGCTAGAATATTATTAGTTCAATAATTTAATATTGCATTAAATTAATAAAATTTGATAATCACGATTGTATTGATTAATAGAAGTTTAACTGTATATTATTTTATTCACTAACTAGACTTTACTTCGTTGGTGAAATCCACTTATTTTTTATTGATAAATTAACGTCCATCAAATTTCAACCAATTTTACATTTGACTCATGTTCACAAAAGACACATTTGGTCCCTGATGTTTCCAAAATTCTACACTTTTAGTTTTTTCCATCAATTTTCCGTTAGTACTAACGGAATCATATGCGTGCCCGTCATTACTTAACTTAACTGATGGATAACGGTAAATTGACGGAAATGACAAAAAGTGTTAAATTATTCAAACATGAGGGATGACTAAATGTGAAATCAATGCAAACTTGAGGGGTGAAAACTGTAATTTTCCCATAAATTAACACTCTCCGTGTTCTTTGAAATCAATCGTCTTCCGTCGTCCACTTGCACAAAGTTTCTCTTTGTTTCATTCATTTTTTTTTTCCGCCGCGAAACGACCTCTTGTAATTAATGGCGTTAATCATTTATAAAAAAAGATGGAGTCGTGGAAACAAAAATAACATTTAAGGGACTTTTGCGCGATAAATACAATAAAATAAACCAATCTAGAGTGATATCTAATGCAGGTTTTGCTTAACACGTGGGAGTTATACGATCGATCGATCGTGCTTAACAATAATTCAATTTGTTCTATACCAGATTGTGCCGTTAGACTTGCGAACTCCCTTATAGCTTTGGGAGATATTGAAGGCAATGACTATGGCTATCCGTTGGCGCAGGGCAAGTCAATTCAAGAAGTCAACACTTACGTGCCGTTTGTTATACGAGCTCTTATCGAAGCTGCAACTGTAATTAATTACATTTATTTATATAATTATTTCGACATATGCAATAATTGTCGATTAAATTGATTTTGAATAATGTAACAACTAATTAATTACGTTCGAAAAACAGGAACTGATCCGAATGGGGGCCACACGAGTAGTAATTGCGGGAAGTGTTCCGGTTGGATGCTACCCTTATATTCTTACAGCATTACAAACGAACAATGCAGCAGACTACGATAATTTAGGATGTCTGAAGAGTGTGAATGATTTTATCGTGTCGAAAAACCAACTTCTCCAAGAAGCCGTTACAAATCTCGCTGCACAATTTTCCAATGTCGGCGTATATTATGGCGACCTGTACGGACCCGTGCAAACAATTATTCAAGAGTCATTGGTTTCAGGTGATTTTTATAACTTTGTTTCGAAAACTTTTTCATATATGATTTAACTGCTACTGTAAAAACTCTAGTTGACACTAAAATTACAAATAAATAGAACATTACGTCCATTCTGAAATTCTTGCTGTTGAATTACCATCTCAACTAAAAAAGGTTAAGTTGTTAATGAAATGTATATCATTTAATATTAGAGTAAATTACACCTAGACCCCTAAGGTATACTAAAATAACTTTAAGGTCCCTATGAAAATTACAACCACGCCTCTGAAACAATTACCAAGGCAAGATTTTATGTTATGGGGGGCAATATGCACTATAGTTGTTTTCCGCAGGACCGTTAATGCTATCATAGATGAAATATTTTAAATCTTAAATATTAATGATCTAACAAATGTTAGGTGGACCATGTCACTCCTTAGCTCTATGTTGTCTCCACCACTGCCCCAAACTAAAAGTCAGTTGAACCCTAACGAAAGAATATATCCAATGCATTATCTCGTTAGGGTCTCTGACGATGTTTCAGGGGTGATTGTAATTATCGATACCACAAGGACCTTATAGTTATTTTAGCATACCCAGGGATCTAGGTATAATTTACGCTCAATATTAATATCTCCAATACTTACCTTCATCTTCCTATGAATTCGCAAAATGGACAACTAAAATTGTTCCAATTTCATCTCTAGCTCGATTGTTTTATTTGCTTAACACTTCGATCTCGAGCTAACTATAATCAAATCATTTTGCATGTAATTTGTAAGGGAACATGACGCTGAAAGCTTGCTGCGGAATTGGAGGAAAATATAATTACAATAGTCGAAGGTTTTGCGGAAGTCGAGGGGTGCCGGTTTGCGCAAATCCAGACGAGTACATCTATTGGGATGGCTTACACTTTACTCAAGAGGCTTACGCTCGGTACACAGATATTGTAGTGCAGCCATTTCTTCCGGTTCTCGGTTGCACATCAAATTAAGTTCTTTTATATATATGAAGAAATAATAAATATTTAGATATATGGGTCGCTATGAAATAAATGTTGAAAATATACTTTGTATTTTTCTATAATGATATTTATAAATAATAACTAGGCTTGAGTTTGAGGAAGTCAAGAAGCCTTCTAGTATTTTGATAACCCTTTTCATTTCTTAAGAACTTGAGGAATGAAGTAGGGGTAATTACACTTTTGGTCCATGTACTTGTCACCTAAAAATGATTTTAGTCCTCAAACTATTTAGTTCACGAAATTAGTCCTGAATCTTACCACTTTTGACAATTTTGGTTTGCCGTCAATGTTTCCTGTTAAGTTGGATGGAACTGTCATGTGCGCTTCAAGTGACGTCCACTTGGCCCCCTAAAAAGTAGTTGGAACTAAACTCCTTCCGCCTCATCCTTACATCTTCTCTTCCACAAATATTTAAAGCATAATTTCTTGCAAACCGAAAATCTGCCATTTCCTACATCACCTCCCGTCGCCTTCCACCGCTTCACCACTCTCCTCCATCACATCTTCTAAAAACAATAAAAAGAAAATCAACCACTCAAAACGAGCTAGGACTGGAACTGAGTTGGGTCAGTTGATTATTGGCCTAAGAACCGATCTATCCGACTGTTGTCGCCATATTTCTGTTAGTGACGATTGAAGAAATTCGCCATACGTGATAATTAAATATTGGCAAAGATTTGTTTTTCATGTTTATTTTAGAATTAATTAGAGTCCTAATCTTGTAATATTGTTATTGGGACTTAGATTTATTTACATGTATTATATTCTAGCTAGGTATCTTTTGTACTTATCTAGAATAGAAGTAGAAATCGACTAGGACTCTATTACCTAGTTAAATCGATTTCTTAGGGCTCAAGTTAGGTTTATGATGGTAATTTTGTGCCTATATAAGGCCCTCAACCTCATATGAGTCCCATGGAGCTTTAATAAGAAAAATCCCAGCATAAAGGCTTTGAAGGGTGCAGCCCGTGCTGCAGCCCTGCCGGCACATCAGGTGTGGCAACAGAACGAGTTTCTTCTACTAGGCCATAAAGAAGATCGGCGTTTCGAGAGAAGTGCTTAATAGATCTCGGGAGAGGTTGATCCGCCGTTTGAAGGGAAAGGAGTCCAAGAGTGCGGATGGAGGAATTGCTTTGATTATCGACAAGTTCGAGTCGTGTGCAAGAACGGCGTATAACATAAAGAGGGAGTCTTTAGTGTTTTATTAAGTCCTATTAATGTACACTGTAAATCTGAACTAGTTTGCAAGTCCTCGTGGATGTAGGGTACGTTTGTATCCGAACCACATTAAATTCTTGTGTTCTTTATTCTGCTTTTAGTAGGTTAATTACTGTGACAACACAAGAATTATGTTACCACATCTTATGTCATAACAAGTGGTCAGTCTCAACAGAAAGAGAGGATTTTCATAGGCATTTAAAATCAACACCGACAAACCAATTTTCCTTGAAAATGAAAGCCAGCCGACGCAACTTCGTAGATCGGTTGATGGTTGACAAACGAATATTTGATTCCGAAATGGGTCGGTTGATAGCTATGCCCACGCCAAAATCCATATTTTGAAGTAAAAGTATGCTTATTCTGCCTGTCATTACACCATCATCAATTATCATTTCAAAATAATTAATAGCAACTCAAAAGAAAATACAATATCGAAATTGGTGGAATTTTTGTGAACTTTATTTTAAACAGCGGCTTAGACATAATGTAATTGGTGGAAGATTTATGCCCACTTGTTTTCTTTGTTACTTTTAGAGACTTGATTTCTAATATAAAAACCTAATTATATAATAACAAGAACATTAATTGCATTTTTTCAATTTTATCCCTTATCACTCTTTCCAAATCCTCTTTTGGTGGCAACCCTCTACCGAGTCTGACGGCGGCGGGGAGATCTCGATATCGTCTTGATGTGGTTCCTTTGCCGCGGTTCCCTGCTCTTCTCTTGCACTATTTGTTGAGGTCGTCGGCATTGATACGCTACAAGAAAAAGTTGCATTAGCGACACCCTAATTGTGACAAATGCAAAAGTTGTCACTTAATGCACACATTAAGTGACAACATCTTTTTTATTGTCACTAATAGCTCTTTTTGTTGTGACTTAATCCTTATTTATCGTCACTATAGAGCATTAGCAACACCCCGTTAGTGACAAGCATAGTGACAACATTTTTTTACCTTACTATGTGAAAAATAGGTGTTGTCACTCAAAAGAATTTTTTTTTGTAGTGATAGTGGGTTGAAAAGAACTAGGAGCGGCTCCGGCGGCGATATTGCTGTGGCCATTTCCAGAACCAGACATTCTGGGTAGGAAGAAGATAAAGTTTGGAAATTAAAATTTAGTCCTATAACTTCAGATTATTTATAATTAGATCAATATTCATTTACGTTTACCGATAAAGGGGTATCTATGTCATTTCACCCTGAAAATCACAACAAAATTGCACAATGTGCGCGTGAGAGACACGGTTTGCCTCAGGAATGTCTTTACCTCGACTTTGTTTATACTGGGGGCATGGGTAATTTTTTTAACAGGGGGTATTTGACAATTAAATATTTCAAAGGGGGGCTATTTGCAATTGACTCTACTTAAAGAAGGGACAAAAATGAGTTTTTCCTTTATCTAAGATGATTTAATCTATGCTACACCGGATGTAATACACTAGGTAGATCTTTAGCATTCATATACACACACCTACCTAGATTGGTGTATGTAGATCAACAGTTAAAAAATCCGGTGATCGACTATATTGAAGAAAATCTTTGAAGGATTTTTTTTTTCATTAAGGCATTAGCCTCCAAGGTACAGCCAATAATCCTACAGGGTAAATTACAAACACCCCCCTGAGGTATGATCAAATTACAAAAACACCCCTCTTGTTTGGATAATTACAACCACCCCCTCAACTCCTCAAATTTAGTGGAATCTTCGAGATTATATGCAATATTATCACTTTTGTACCCGTTTTATCCCATTCAAACTCTACATTATGAAGCAAGATGATCATAATATGTGATTTTTAGCTTGTATATATCAGTTTGTGGTGGAGGTCTAAGAAAAAAATCATAGTTGAGGGGGGTAGATGTAATTATCCAAACAAGAGGGGGGGTTTTGTAATTTGACCATACCTCAGGGGGGTGTTTGTAATTTACCCTAATCCTACACAATCTTATTTGACTTAGGTGGTGTTTGCAAATGATTATTTAAAAGCAAAAGTTACTGATTGTGATTTAAGGTAGTTTTAAGTGCTTATTTCTAAAAGTTGGGGGTGTTTGCAAAAATTTCGGAAAATGAACTAAATTTGAAAAAGCAGGGTTAGGGGTGCTTTTAAAAAAAATAGCTTAAAGCAGATTATTTTAAGAGAAACAAAAGCAAAAGTTGATTTTGCAAACAACTAAAAACAGATTATGAGAAAAAAACCGCATAATCACTTTCAAAAAGCATTTGCAAACACCACCTTAGGCTCCTGTCATTATTAGAAAAAGGTTTTCTGGTTTAGGGGGATGACACGTGTCCTTGAGTGTTTGGTCATCCAAGGCAGTGGGATATTTTTTGAGGAAATCTTTCCGCTGAAAATTTGAACCTGAATTGTTATGCGGGGAAGATGTTGGCAGGCCTGCCCCTAGGCATAGGCAAATTAGAAGAGTGCCGGCTCAAACTTGTATATATTATGTTAGGGCCTAAGATACTATATTTTGTTACAATTAGGCCCCCAAATATGAATCCTTTATTATATTTTTTATAAAAAAAACGAAAAAAATACAAATGTAGCTCAAATTTTATAGAAATTAATTATAATGTTAATAATTTTAATATTTATGCATTAATTTTTTTTTAGTCGGCAGCATTTCCTATTTATATATGCAAAAATTAAGTACAAAGTAACGGTATTGTCGATCTTTATTAGTGATAGTAGTTAAGTTGACTTGATGTCTTGAATGATCATCGACGGAGATGAATTGGCTATTGATGGTTGGGAAAGGGTAAGCACGATTATCTCGTTGAAGATAACGTGTTGAAATAGGTTAGACGATGGGTACTAGTGTCGGTAGAGCCGCCCTCTAACCCTAGGGTTCGCCCTTCCTATACTATATTTTAAGTCTCTGCATTGAATAAATTGAATTATGGTGAATTTTCTTGCAACTAACTTCATTTACAACGAAGGCTCACATATATGCTTATATAGATATACATTTTCCTTTTTGTACTTTCATTTCTAAATATTCTCATCAGGGGGTATTATTTTCCTTGTTCTGGTCAACAAAGTTTTTAATAACGCCTTCATGTACTCTCGATGTTGTTTCATGGACTAACAATATAAAATGCCCCCCCTTATCCATCCCAATTTTTATTGCCTCATGGTTCTTAACAGAACTTATAGTATATGTTACAACAATATAAATTAATATGATCAAAACTTGTACTATTTTCATAAAGGCGCGATTTGCTAAACGACCCTAAGCGCTAATTAGGACAGTCACACTTTTACAATTTGCTAAAAGTCATTTATTCTTCAGACGTCTTCATCATGTCTCCCTCCGTCAGATTTGTTCCATACCCCATCAAATATGTTGCACCTCCTTTTCCCGCTTCCATCGTCGATGCTCTGCCACACACACATAATCACACACCTACATACAGGGGCGGACCTAGGGGGGGGATAGGGATAATTTAAGAAAGAATATTTTTTTTGTTTTTGGGGACTAAAGTGTACAAAATTAAAAGTTTAGGGGAGCGAAAGTACATTAATTAAAAAACAAAAAAAAAAAGCACAGCTTAAAAAAAAATCTTGGGGGCGGGGGCCACCCCAGACAAAGGCATGGGTATGCCCCTGCCTACATACACACATAAGTAGCCACACACACGCACACACATACAATTTTGGTTACACGCGTTCTATTAACTAAGTTTTTGCTTAATCAATATAACTTAGTTGTTGCTTATTAATATAACTGATTTGTTGCTTATTAATATAACTCAGCTGTGCAAACCACCGCGTCACCGTTACTATTAGTTTTCCTAAGCAATTCCGTTAAAACGGGAGCGCACGAGGATTTTTAGCAAAATGACAAAATCCACGTGTTCTTATAACTATGGAGAATATTTCTTAAGGTCTTCCAGCTAATTTCCCTTTAATAAATCTAGAAAAAAAATTTCTTGAGGGAATTGTGGTACTTATTCTTGTATCTATTTTATGTGAATATATCTATAAGAAATCCGGGTTGCCTAAAAAATTATAACTTACACCTGATCGTATTATTTCTAAAATTAAAGAATCACCCCCTAAAATAATTTTTTTGGATCCACCCCTATACACGCGCATTGTTTGGTTACTTAGGTGTAGTATCTACAAAATCCACATCGCTATCAGCCGAAAACCCGAAACCCTAAAATCTTTATTGACGCAATTAATTCATCTTGTAATAAATAAACATTATGTTCGGTGCCTTATATTTAGCCTAACAATTGGACCATATCCAATAAGTACACCTTTATATGTAGAACTTGCTAAACCTATATATACCAACTCTTTTAGCTTTCTACTCCATCACTCCACTCTTGCTACCATTGTTTTCTAGGTAATGCATTTTATCTCTAAAAGAAGCAAGATACGTATATATATATATATATATATATATATATATATATATATATATATATATATATATATATATATATATATTTTCTACAACATTAACACTTTTTCATGTTTGCTCGATCAACAATGTCACAGGTTGTAAGCTAGAAAAAACTTGAGAAGCAAGCAAGCATGAAGATCCAAGTTCATGAGAATCGAACGTGTTTTTTCTTCTCATTCTTCGTCGTATGTTTTTTCTTATTGATCCAAAATTCACAACAGCAGAGGCCGCAGAACACGACATGCCCATTTAAGTATATATACAGCTTTGGAGATGGAATAACCGACATTGGAAACACGGTTAGGGTTCTCCCTTTCGGACCGTTTCTTCCTGCGGCACGTTCGCCTTATGGTCAAACTTTCCCCGGTCAACCCACTGGTCGTTGGTCTGATGGGCGTATCGCCATTGACTATATAGGTATGACAATAAGGTGCATTCGAGATATACAGGGGCGAGTCCACCCATGGGCAAGGCTGGACTCAAGCCCACCATCAATTGATAATTTTTTTTCCCCTATATTATATAACCTATATAGCTATTTAGCCCACTCAATTTCTTTTATTAATTATCTCACCTAAAATCCAAATTAATGCCAAAAAAACTGCAAATTTTATTAACTAACCCACCCAAAATTCAAATTCATGCTAAAAAACCCTATTTTTTTTACTTTTTCGTTTTTTCTATTCATATTTTTTTTATTTTGTCACGAAAAAAAGTCCTAAAACATTTTCTGGGGCGCTGCCCCGAACCCCCGAAAATTTAAGCCCCCAGCAACAAATTCCTGGACTCACCTCTGTGTGTGTACACACACACATTCTATGTAACTCTGAGTGAATTGCAATAAATACCTTGTATGTATTATTTTGAATTAAATATATTTTTTATGTTATAGGGGTTTTGTGCAAATATTTTATTTTTTAGGGGGTGAAGTGCATTTGATGAAAGTTATATATGCGTATGATTTGCAGGTTCGGATCTAGGCTTGCCAAATATTGTACCGTATTTGTCGTTACGTGGTTCTACCAGCAACGATGGCGTCATCTTTTCAGCTGCAAGGAGTACAACTTTAGACCGTTTGTTTTTCAAATTAAGGGGCGTTGCCATTCCACCTTATGCTATTCCTCTTAGCGGTCAACTAAGATGGTTTAAAGCTTATCTTTCATCCCTTTGCTCAACACCTCAAGGTACATTATACACATATATTCCGTAATTGTTATATATATATACGACCAACTTACGCACCCGAGGTAAGCTCAAATTACAAAAACAGCCCTTATGTTTGGATAATTACAACCACTTCCTTCAATTATGTATTGACTTACGAAAAATCCCCTTCTTCAGCGATAAGACAATACATAATTGAGGGATGGTTGTATATATATATATATATATATAGGGGAAATTACAGTTTTATCCCTTAAGTTTGCACTAATTTCACATTTGATCCTACATGTTCACAAAAAAATACTTTTGGTCATATCCCTGAATTTGCTGTTAGTTCGTTAGTTAAGGCAGTGATGGACACACGCTTGATTCTGTTAGTTTTCACGGGAAATTGATGGAAATGACTAAAAGGGTTGATTATTTGAAACGTAAGGGACCAAATGTGAAATCGGTGCACAAATTTGAGGGATGAAAACTGTATTTTTCGATATATATATATACATACACCAAAAATACATCATATGATAGAGTGTACTTACAATAATTCAATTTTGTTTACACCAGATTGTGCCAATATAGTAGGGGACTCTGTTATAATTTTGGGAGATATTGAAGCCAATGACATCGGGTATGCACTAGAGCAGGGCAAATCGATTCAACAAGTCGAGACCTACGTGCCGTTTATAATACGAGCTCTTATCGAAGCTGCAACCGTAATTACATTTATTTTTTTAATTAATTTCCTGTTCATAATTGCATTTAGGCTTTATTGAATTGGGCACCCCTATATTATCTCTAATGTTCAAAATACTACCCATGTTATTTTATTAGCAGAAAAATCCTTTGATCCTCTGCTCAAAGCAATACATTATGGCCTCCTTTTATTAAGGAGATTAGCAATGATTAATTAAATAATTTGACTTTATTTGATATGTGGTATCCTCCATAACTTCTCAGGTCTGATCCGTAAACATTATATTATCATGGCTTATTTTGTTTTTTAGGGAGTATTTTTATTGGATCTTCCACGGTCAGATAACACAATTAGGTCGAATTAGATTATTTAATCTTATATTGGCTAATCGTATCTTGACGACCAAACAAGGCATGTTAGAACTATTTTATCAATTTGATATAACATAAGGCCTCGTTTGCTTACCTAGCTATATCGGATTAGACTAGGTTGGATTAATTATCTACTGGTTAACTAATTAATTACTTAATAATATGTTTGGTTCTTTAGATTACATATTGTACTAAATTTGTTAGATTATGTTATTACGTGTAAATTGTCTATACAACCTTTTATTTAACAAAATTAAGTTATTGTTTAAGGATAAAATTGTAATTTTCTGTTTTAGTCACCCCCTACAAAATTAATCGCAAGGGCGAGGGGTGTTACTAATTTCATGACTAGATAGCACTTAATTGCAGGCTTCAACTTTCAAAGCGGGCTTTAGTGGTGTTGAATCCTACCAACCAAACATCTTATTAACTCCTACGTATAGAGTTGAACTCCATCGACTACTATTCAATCGTATAGGTGTATACATATTAAATACATGTACATTACATGTGTGTAATTGTTTGTAAATCTACGGCGATATACAATTGACCGTTAAATTTATTTTGAATAACGACTAATTAATTATGTTATATAAAAACAGGAACTGATCCGAATGGGCGCCACACGAGTAGTACTTACGGGAAGTGTTCCAGTTGGATGCTATCCTTATATTCTTACAGCGTTACAAACCAACAATGCCACGGCGTACGATGATTTGGGATGTCTGAAGAGTGTGAATGATCTTATCTTGTCGAAAAACCAACTTCTCCAAGAAGCCGTCACAAATCTCGCTGCACAATTTCCCAATGTCGGCGTATATTATGCCGGCATATACGATAGTGTGCAATCAATTATTCGACAGTCATCCATTTCAGGTGAGGTTTTTTTTTTTTTTTTGAAACCTTTTAAAATTAATTTAGGTTACATTCGTTGCATGATTTAAGGTTTTGCATGTAATTTTTGTAAGGTAACATGACGTTGAAATCTTGCTGCGGAATTGGAGGACAATATAATTACGATCGTCGAAGGTTTTGTGGAAGTCGTGGGGTGCTGGTTTGCGCAAATCCAAGCGAATACATCTATTGGGATGGCTTACACTTTACTCAAGATCTTTACGCTCAATACACGAATATTGTCGTGCCGCCATTTCTTCCGGTTCTTGGGTGCACATCAAATTAATGATATTTTATATGAAGAAATAATAAATAATCGGATAATTATATCGACCACTGCGAATTAATTATCGATAATGATATTTAGAATAACACGGCTCGACTTTCAGAAAGTCGATCGAGAAGCTTTCTAGTATTTGAAGTCCTTTTGTTTTAAGAACTTGGTGTTGGTTGAAATACCTACACGCGAGTGCACGTATCGTACAAGTAATAAAGTGGATTTTTTAAGTCCAACTATCGATATTTAATTATCTAATCCTAGATGCTAAATTCTACCAATTGTTATCAAGCCCACCCTACACAGTCGACTTTAGAGAGAATTAACTAAATTAAAGAAAATTAAAAAGACAAACCAAGAAAGCAAATTAAACACGAAGATTTATCAGATTAAACAAGCTTAGGATTTTATTCTTCCCTTATGTGATTATTACTCCCCCAATTCCTTCAATTATGCAAGCAATTAACCCGGATTATTAACCTGAGATGCTAAATTAATCATAACCCGCTTCCGCGTGTATTACGATTCTAATACTCTAGATTCAATCACTGTATTCCTACGCAATTAATTCTAGAGCACAGCATTAAGCATAAATCTCAATAATAGCTACCTAAGAGATTAACTATATTCCTATGTTAATACCACAAAGGCTCTTCTACCACAGTTCTAATTATTAACTCGATCTTCCGATTCATGCGATTAACAATAACATAAAAGCATATAAGGTGATCAAATTCATGCACTTAATAAAACAAGTAGAAGAAATAATCCGAAATTAAAACTTGCATAAAATCATAGAATTGGGTTCATAAATCCCACATAGGGTTCCAAATAAAATCCTAGAAAATAAAGACTTAGCTACTCGTGATTCTTGACAAAGAAAATAAAATAAATAAATTAAATAAGAAAAACTATGCTTGAGTCTTCGTTGATCTTCGTTCCTCGCGTATTGTGGTGTAAAATTTCGTGCTTATGGTGTAGAGACTTGTTGCTTTTATAGGCTTTTCTTGATAACGAAGTAGTGGAAACCTAATAGGAATCAATTCCCGCCACTTTCCCCCATCAGGACTTGTTCTTCGATTTTCGCCATGTTGGAGTACGAATTTTGGAATGTTGCGTAAATAAGAATTGTAGCCCTTGAAATTATCTTTCCAATGCCACCAAAATCAGATGATTTGGAGTTCGTATGAGAGAGATATGCTCAAAATGGTGGACACTGCCAAAGCTGTGGCGAGATTCCTTCTTCCAATTTGATTTATTTCCTTATTTGTAACTTTTTCCTTTATTTTTGATCTTTTTTCCTTCATGGACATCTAATTCTCGTTTTCACCTATAAAACACAAAATCAATCAATTAAAACACAAATATAATTAAATCTAAACAAAGATCCACGTAAAGTAAACGTATTGAGCGTAAAATCTACACTCAACACACCCCCAAACTTGAACTTTTGTTTGTCCTCAAGCAATATCTAATCGTAAGCAAATAACTCAACTACCACATCTCATCACATAGATTAATGACCAACTTCACGTTTTCAGAACTTGTAATTATAATGAAAATTCTTAGGCATTCGCAAGCTCAAAATTCAAAAACACTTAGTCACTTACCATATCCAAAAACCACAAATCATGAAATTGCTTCAAGCATCCAATATTTGTAAATTAAAGATAGAAAAAATTTATGCTTACATGCATATGATTGACTCCAAATACTCACCAAATTATTGTACTCTACTAATATCGAACATTAAGCTATTGGAATCATTGGGGCTTTTTATATAAACTATATGTGTTGGCGAATTACATTTGGAATATTTGAAATGGATGGCGGTAATGGTATTAAAAATGGACGTCCCCTCCAAGTCATTTTCTTCGCAATCTTTCTTGCACGTATTTTAATTTTTTTTCTCATAAAACATGTGCATTGCCTTCTCCATGGGGATGTGGGTAATGAAATAAATTGAGGAAGAAGAAAAAAATAAATGGAGGGAGAGAAGGAAGAATAAGAGAAGAAATTAGGGCTTTTAAATTAATTTAATTTGAAAACACAGTTACGCCGTTACAAATGTCATGCAATGCACATGTTTTGAATTCCGGCTAAAATGGCGGGAAAATCAACTCTCTATGTCAATGTGGCACAATAAAAAGAGTTCAGGTGCGATCGTGTGCAACTTTTTTTTTTTTTTGGTCTATTAGATATAACCCCCTTAAACATTCAAATAATAGGGGTAGATCCAAACTTAAATTTGCCATCTTGATAAAAACCCAAACTTTTCTAAATTACATAATTACCCTCAATCAAATCCCACAAATCCCGTTACTTTACCTGTTGAAATAATATCAAATCTCTCCCTATTTTCCCGTTAAAACACTATCACCACAAACCCACTATCAAAAAAACTGCAAACCCTCCCAAAAAACCAGAAATTTGCACGGCCATGGATCGGCGATTTTTCTGCACTCCGACCAAGCCTCCGTAGGTACGTCGTCGCCACTCGCTGAATCGCTATCATCCATCGATTTGTTGATATGTTTTGGCTAAATCGACTATCACGTTTGTGTAATTGCAGATCTGTTATAATCGCATACCGAATTCGAGCACTAAATCAGTGATATTGCAACAATTGATGGGCAGGACATCCACCAGAAGTGATATCGTCGTTGGCCGCCATCGCCGCCGCCGTCACTGCTCCAATCTAGAGTTACTCAAATCTAGGATTACTCAAATCTAGGCGTTTTGATAATTTTTCGGCCCATAGTTGATTAACGAGATGCATAGTCAAATTACATATGTATTAATATACTATCCCATATCATTTAATAGACTATCCCACTGGTATAATTTTACTATGGATCTCGTTAATCGACTATGGGCCGAAGAATCATCAAAACCCTAGAATAATAATAATAATAATATATATGGAAAATGAATAATATGTTTGTTTGAAATACTAATCAATTAGGGTAATTTTCCTTATTATATGAAAACGATTAGGGTAAATAATAATATATATGAAAAAATAATAATATATATGGAAACTGAATAATATGTTTGTTTGAAATACTAATCAATTAGGGTAATTTTCCTTATATCATGTAATAGACTATCTTATTGATCTAATTAGACTATGGATCTCGTTACTCGACTATGGATCCCGTATTATTCAACTACATAGTATATTAATAATTTCAATATAGTACATTAATCTGCTATGATAGTATATTACGGTTATAGTAGTGATATGAAATTGTGTTACAAACAATATACCACTGAAATGACAAGAACATTGAGAACAAAACCAACGTAAAGTATTCCAACATAACCAATAAAATAGTACATTAATAATCTCATAATTTCAATCTAGGGTTTTGATAAAATACATAAAACACATCATAACACAATCAAACCAATATGTCGAGTTAAAAAACTCTAGTACATTAATAATCTCATAATAGTATAATAAAATGATAATGGTAGTATCATACGGTATTCATAATAGTATACTACTGTATTACAACGGTTTAACACTTAACCGAAGTTACCGAGCCATTACATCGTAAACACCTCTTTATAGCAACCAACCCACCAAACCTCAACAAAATCCGTACGAAATTCGCCATCGAAAAAACCTAAAATCATGAAACAAAATTAAAAATGCATAATACTAAAAAATGATTAAATAGACTGCAAATACATTTGAATGACAATACATTAATATATCATCAAAAATAAACTTAAAATGCAAAATCCATACGCTAAATTAAAAAAGAATACTACGAAATATATTTTAATGTACTACCCAGCACCCTAAAATCTGCTGTTATAAACAAATAAACCAACTATCGAACGGGATCAAACTCATGAACTCGACCACAGCGGACAGTTATTTCAATTATTGCATAAACTAACTACGAAGCTCATATAAAACAACTCTGGTCCGATATGCATGAACCATCCTCTTCTAACTCTGTCAATCATCTTCCAAACAAACATCATCCGCCAAAAATAACGATGTATATATGACGGAATAATTTTGTTAACAAAACGTTCTACTTAATAGAATCAAGTACCAACACATCTCTTAAAAATGTCTAACCACCGTACACGACAATCCTGGACATTGAGCGAAAAATAAAAACGAAAAAAAACGCATTCATACCCGCTTAACAACGTCCACCAATGAAAGCTCAAATCCGATCCTATTTCCACGACGGTGCAAAAATCTTCAAAGACGATAAAAACCGCTGGAACGCTGAAGAGAATCTTCAAAAAATATTGTACACGATTTGATATAACGGCCAATGATCTCACGTAAATTTATTCCGTGATTTTAGGCAACGTATCAGCAAATCTCAAATCACGTAGTAAAGGAAATAAATTCCGTTTAGAAATAAAACAGGAGTATTAAAGGGAAATTATATAATATATTTTGCCAAGTTGGCGAAATTGGGTGTATCTCAAAAAGGAAAAAATTTATTGGATCTACCTCATTAGAAAATATGAACAAGGGGGTTATCCCTAATAAACCCTTTTTTTTTTCCAGGTAGCATTACGAAATATTTGCCAAAGTCCAGGCGATAAAAACTTTATTTATTTCTTTGGATATAATGTATTTGAAATTGTGGACAACATATTATGTTATCTTCAACATAGTGTACTTATTTGTCTGTATATCTTTCTTTTACCGGCTGAGATGTAATTATCGTTTCAGTTGTCTAAAACATCGTTGGTCGAAAAACTCACACGCAAGTTCAAGTACACTGTAGCAAA